TAGAATGTCAGAGGTGGGAGGGATCTCAGAACCTAGAAGGTCAGAGGTGGGAGGTATCTCAGAATCTAGAATGTCTGAGGTGGGAGGGATCTCAGAACCTAGAAGGTCAGAGGTGGGAGGGATCTTCCAGAATGTGAGAGGTGGGAGAGATTTTAGAAGCTAGAGTGTGAGAGCTGGGAGGGACAATGTTAAATGCCTTTAGTAGTTGTCTGAGGTGTGATTCAAACCCAGGTGTTGCCTGACTCCAAGCATTGTACAATGTTGCCAGCAAAGGACCTTAAAGCAGAACACATAGAAGTTAGAGTCTAACATGCAAACAATGGCATCCAGAATTGGCCGAACAGCCACAGACCTTGTCTCCCCAACTGATCAGTTTTCTTCCTTTACCTTGCAGTGTGAGTGGGTGTGTGTTTGGGGTGAAGGGAGAGAGAAGAAAGGGGGGAAGCTAATAGCAATCACCTGAAAAAACACTCTAGTCCACAGACATTTTATTAAGCCCCTACCTTGTGGAAGAGCCTGGGAAATGTTTCTCCCCTAACCCTCCCCACCACCCCCATTCCCTTCATTGCATTGGGTCATCTGATCTTCACCCTCTTGAGCCCCATTAGGGTTGTTGTTATTATTATTATTTTTGTTATTATTATTAATTATCCCTAGTTAACACTGAAACTCTGAAAAGGGGAATGACTTGCTCAGTGTCAGCTAGTAAAGTGTCTGGGACAGGATTTGAAACCAAGTCTTCATAACTCCATGCCCGACACTTTAACCACTGTGCCACTTAGCTGCTTCCTTTATTTCATCTCTTTCCTTAGTTTCAGAGACACCCCACTTATCTGATTTCTCCTTCTCTGTTTCTGACACTGGCTCCTTTCCCTTTCCCCAGCTCCTCACTGTGAGTATTCCTCTTGGCTTCTGTTCCTTTTCCACTTGGCTAGCCCATAAACCCAACATGCCCAAATCAAGCTCATCCTTTTCACCCTGAAATCTGTTCTTGCTGACTTCTTCATTTCACTGGTCACCCATCCTCCCACAGTCAAACCTGGAGGAGTCTTCCATTCTGCTATCCTTCACCTCTTATATCCACTAAGTTACCAAGTTCCATCAATTACACCTCCACATCTTTCACATTGATCCTTTCCTCTCAACTCCCGGGGCCACCACTAGAGCCCAATCCTCATCATTACTGGTCAGGGTGTCCTAGCAAGTCCCTCCCCTCCCCCATCCATTCTTCATTGATCTCATCTTTCTAATACACAGGTTTGGGAAAAAGCAGGGTCCCCTGCTCAATGGTCTTCAAGGGCTCCCTATTACCATTTGTACAAAGTCTAAACTCTTTTTCCTTACATTAAGGACTTCCAAAATTTGATACCAGCTTGCCTTTACAGACTTGGAGTCAGGAAACTGTTTAGTCATTTTTCAGTTATGTTCAACTCTTTGTGACCCTATTTGGGGTTTTCTTGGCAAACGTGTTGAAGTGGTTTGTCATTTCCTTCTTCAGCTCATTTTACAAGTGAGGAAGCTGAGACAAACAGGGTAAAGTGACTTACCCAGGGTCACACAGCTATTAAGTGGCCGATGCTGGATTTGAACTCAGGTCTTCCTGATTCCAGGTCCAGCCACTGTACCACCTAACTGTCCCAAGGAGTCAGGAAGACCTAGGTTCAAATCCTTCCTCTGACACTTGCTATTTGTGTGATCCTGGTCAAGGCCTTTAACCTCTTTCAGTCTCAGTTTCCTTATCTGTAAAATGGAGCTACTGATAACACCTACATCACAGTGCTGTTGTAAGACTCAGATAAGATAATGTATATAAAGTACTTTGTAAATGTTAAAATGATACATAAATATAGGTATTTTTATTACTATTATTCCTCCTTGCAACACTAGCCTTACATAGACAGACCATGTTCTCCAAACTCCACCTAAATTGAACTCCCTGCCCCCTGTAAATGCCCAGCGTTCTCCAGCCTCTCTGCCTTTGTCCACACTGTCCTCTGTCTAATTTATTTCAGAAACATTTATTGGGATTCTCTGCTATATCAGGCACTGTGGTAAGTGTTGGAAATACAAAGACAAAACTGAATCAAGCCCTGCCCTCAAAGGGCTCCATTCTACCCAAGAATAAAAAATGTCCATTAAGTAGTTGCTAAGTGTATATAATATCACACAATATAAATTACAAAGGATGAGTGCTAACAGTTGGGGAGATTGAGACAGGCTTCCTGGAGGAGGTGGCACCTGAACCAGGCTTTGAAGGAAGGCAAGTTAACTCAGAACCTCAGTTCCCTACCCTGTAATATGAAGAGTTTGAACTACAGACATTAAAGAGGTCTTGCAAACTGATACAATATGGTATGATATGAGATGTTTCTATACTATTAGAAGATATTTCTTGCATGTGTAACTATATATGTATGTCCAAGTAAAGAGAAAAATCAACATTCTAGGACCTGTGTCTATCTTCAGTCCTGTTCTGGACTCTAAGCTCCCAGGAGGCCAGGGCCATGTTCAATGTGCATCAGCAAAGGCACTTCAGCACCACACCGCTGTCCCACCCCCATCCCGCACTATGCAAAAGACAGCTCTGGGCTCTGCTCCTTCCTAGGTCAGCTTCTTCAAGTAAAGTTACATGCCATTCTGATAGCCCAGGACGAGCTGAAGCCATTTGATGGACGGCCTCGAGGGCTCTAGAGAAAACTCAAAGTGAAGGAGACAGAGGGCTGTGACCACTTTCATCTCTGTCATGGCAAACTGCTGCCCAATGCAGTTCCTGCAGTCAGAGAGGGAGAGAAACACTGAATCAGCATCATTGCCAGGATTGCTCCATGGCTGGAGTCAGAAATAAGCTCAGGCTCACAGAGCCTGGCACAAGAGCTGGACAAGTAGGTTGTAAACTTAATAGACATTAAAGGCAGAATTTGAACTCAGGTCTCCCTGACTCCATGGGAAGCATTCTTAGCTGCCTCTCAAATAGAGGCAAAACCCAACCTTTTCCTTTCCCCCACTCTCAATTATGCACTGAAGTCGAAATACTTCTCCCCTCAGTATGCCAAGCTCTCTTTCTTCCCAGGCTCCTAGGAAGCCATCTTTACTCAGAGCCCCACCCCAAGCAACCTGTGTGGGAGGTGCAGGGTGGGCTGAGAATGAGGCAGATTTCTCCCAGGTCTGCCCGGGAGAGTATTCAGGTGGCTATATTTGAAAGACTGTAGTTGAAGCATGCTGGGTGACAGTACCTACCTGGGTCCAGCTGAGAAGGGAATGAATGCATAGGGGTGACGGGTAGAGGAATTCTCTGAAGAGAAGCACTGGGGGTCAAACACCTACAACAAAAGGAAGGAAGACCTGAGTTCAAATCCCTCCTCTGACAATGGCTAGGTGGGTGAAACTCAACAAGGGGCTGGGCCAGAGGCCCCTGATGTCTCATGTAACTTTGGCAGCCTAAGACTCTGTGATTCTAGAGATGGAATAAATTCCAGACACAAGTGTGCCGGTCGGGCCATGCACTCTCCTTCTAACAGGAGCAGGCTGCCAGGGTCATACTCACCAGTCCTCGGAGCCCACCCGGATAAACACAGAGACGAGCCGATCAGGAGGTGCAAGCTCTCGAACTTTATTCAGAGACCATCACAGCAAGGCCAAGCAGGAAAGCAAGAGCAGGAGCAAGAGAACGAGCTCCGATCCCTACCGCCCCTTATATACCTTCCTAGCCCCTCCTCCTCAGCCCTCCTACTAGTGATTGGTTGTAGGATCAGATACTGGAAGGGGATGTCTGGGGTTAGCGCTGTACCAAGGGAGAGGACGTGACAAAGGAAGCTAGGCCTAGATACTGGAAGGAGGCGTCTGGGGCTAGCGCTGCACAAAGGGAGAGGGCGTGACAAAGGAAGGTAGGCCCGGATACCGGAAGGAGATGTCTGGGGTTAGCGCTGCACCTAGGGAGAGGACTAGACAAAGGGAGCTCGTTCTCTGCCATCCCACTCCCACGTGGCACAGCCCCCTGCCTCAGGAGCACATGCTCCAGCTACTTTCCTGTATCCTGTTCCTACCCCAGTTCACCACAACTCCACATGGCACAGCCCCCTGCCTCGGGAGCATGAGCTCCGGTTACTTCCTATATCCTGTCCCTGCCCCATCTTGCCACAACCCCCACGTGGCACGTAGTCAACATCAGACAATCCCTCACACACAAGGCAAAGTTGGATCTAGGGCCCAGAGGCTGGGGGACACAGAGCATGCTTGGGATGTAATAGTAATATAGTATCTGCTGGTGAGAGCACAGTATATACACATATGAGTAATCTCATATAAGCTTGGAGAGCTAACATGGTGCCAAGGAATGGGAATTGGGTGGTTGGAGGATGTCAGGCAGAAGCATCTGAACCTCACTTGAGAGAAATCAGGAACTACTAAAGATTTTTGACTAGAGGAATGCCCTAGTTTACAAAGATCTTCAAAGAAGCAAGACTGTCCTTCCCTTACTCCTTCAATAAATGGATTATAAGGGGAAATGAGGGCAGACAAAGAGATGGATTAGAATGGTCATCACCCAGGCAGATGGTCCTAGGAGTCTGTATAAGGCTGTGGAAATAGAGAAAGGGGGATGGATTTAAGAGATGGCATCCATCCATTTCCACCGAGGGAGAGTGAATAGACCCCTGGGAGCTGATTGGAGGGGAACAGGAGGAAGAGGGATGAGTCTAAGATACCTTCAAGGTTAAAGACACGGGAAAGGAAGAGAGTGGTGGGGGTACAGGCAGAGACAGTGAAAGCAGGAGGAAAAGCATGTCAGAGGGAAACTTAATAGACTCTTTCCTAGCAGGAGGAGCCCCAGATCCTCCTCCACCCAAGCCCCTCAAGCTGACTTCCTGAGCCTGCTTAGGCAGGTCATCCCCTACCCCCAACATACATGAGCCTTCCCATTCCCCTCCCCCTCTGGGAATGCTCTCCTCTGGCCCAGAAGTGATGTTTAAAGATACCTCAGGCTTGTCCCACAGGGCTGGGTTCCTGTGGAGTGCATAGATGTGGAGAGAGACCAAGCTGCCTGTGGGACAGGGAGAAAGATGCTCCAGGAGAACAGTCTTGTGATTTCATTGGTATGGGAAACTCCTGGTGGGGTCAGCCTCTCCACCGACACAGACAGGCCACTCATAATCTAACTAAAAGTCTTAGAAGCCACTGAGAAGTTAAATAACTGGACCAGAACCCAGGTCTTCCTGACTCCAAGGCCAGACTTCTGTCCACTATACCATGCTGCTAACCCCATCTAGTAACTAAGATGGGGATTTACAAATGAGCAAACTAATCCCTGAGAATGGAAGTGATTCTGGTAATGTCTTTAACTGTGTGGGGACTTGCACTCAGCTCTCATGACTCCTAGTCTAGGGTTTTCCTCTGCAAAGCTGAAAACACTGGAATGGAGGGTGGTCTAGGGTGTTCTGTGAGAGGTGACTGGATCTCCTTCGACTCCCCAGGGCCCAACAAATTTCACAAATTGTGGCAGAGGTTTACTTGGGGGAAAGTGGAGGGAATTAGGACTACACTGGGGTGGCAGATCAGTTTTTCAAGAAGGAAGTGACCTCAAGGAGAACAACTGAAGAACTTTCCAAAATATCTGCAGGACCAGGATTTTAATTTCTCTGGACTTGGCAGCAATAAAACAAGAGGAAAAACAAACAAACAAAACAAACAAACCCTAATGAACCTTGAGAAACCAATGGGATGACTTCAGACTGAGGCAAGAACAGAGGAAGGGGAAGCTAATTTACTTATTCAGTGCCATACCAATCAAACTACCAAAATTATTTTACAGAGCTAGAAAAAAATAATAACAAGATTCATTTGGAAGAACAAAAGGTCCAGAATATCAAAAGAACTAATGAAAAGCAATGCAGGGGAAGGTAGCCTAGCCATTCCAGATCTTAAATTGTATTATAAAGCAGCAGTCATCAAAACTGCTTGGTACTGGCTAAGAAATAGAGGGGTGGATCGGTGGAATAGGTTAAGCATGCAAGACACAGTAGTCAATGACTATAGTAATATATTATTTGATAAACCCAAAGACCCCAGCTTCTGGGATAAGAACCTACTCTTTGAAAAAAACTGCTGGGAAAACCAGAAAAGAGTATGGCAGAAACTAGGCATAGACCAAAATCTCATACCATATACCAAAATAAAGTCAAAGTGGGTTCATGATTTAGATAGAAAGGCTGATACTAAAAGAAAACTGAAAGAGCAAGGAATAGTTTACCTGTCAGATCTATGGAGAAGAGAAGAATTCATGACCAAACAGGAGATAGAGAACATTACAAAAAGCAAAATAGATAATTTTGATTACATTAAATTGAAAAGTTTTTGCACAAACAAAGTCAATGCAACTAAGATTAGAAGGAAGGTAGAAAATTGGGAAAGAATTTTTACAACCAGTCTCTCTGATAAGGGCCTCATTTCTAAAATACATAGAGAATTAAGTCAAATTTATAAGAATACAAGCCATTCCCCAATTGATAAGTGGTCAAAGGATATGAACAGACAGTTCTCAGATGAAGAAATTAAAGCCATCTATAGTCACACAAAAAAATGCTCTAAATCACTATTGATTAGAGAAATGCAAATCAAAACAACTCCGAGGTACCACATCACACCTATCAGAATGGCCAACATGACAAAACAGGAAAATGATAAATGTTGGAGAAGATGTGGGAAAATTGGAACACTAATGCATTGTTGGTGGAGTTGTGAAATGATCCAACCATTTTGGAGAGCAATTTGGAACTATGCCCAAAGGGTTATCAAAATGTGCATACCCTTTGACCCAGCAATAGCACTTCTAGGGCTATATCCCAAAGAGATCACACAAATGGGAAAGGGACCTACATGTACAAAAATATTCATAGCAGCTCTTTTTGTGATGGCAAAGAATTGGAAATTGAGAGGGTGCCCATCAATTGGGGAATGGCTGAGCAAGTTGTGGTATATGAATGTGATGGAATACTATTGTGCTATAAGAAATGATGAACAGGCTGACTTCAGAAAAACCTGGAAGGACTTGTATGGTCTGATGCTGAGTGAAATGAGCAGAACCAAGAGAACATTATACACAATAACAGCCATGTTGTATGATGACTAATATTGATAAACTTAACCCTTCCTGGCAATACAAGGATCTAAGACATCTCCAGAGGCCTTGTGATGGAAAATGCTATCCACACCCAAAGAAAGAACTATGGAAGCCCAATTGTTTTTTTTTTCTCTTCTGTTGAGTTTTGTTTCCTCTTTCCGATGGTTCCTCCTACTGGTTTCAATTTCTACTTACAACATCACTAATGTGAAAATATGTTTAATATGAATGTAAATGTATAGCATATATCAGATTGTGCACCGTCTTGGGGAGGGTGGTGAGGAGGAAGGGGGAGAAAAATTTTAAGCTCAAAAGCGTATGGAAGTGATTATTTTTTTTTAGTGAGGCAATCGGGGTTAAGCAACTTGCCCAAGGTCACACAGCTAGTACTTGTCAAGTGTTTGGTCTGAGGTCGGATTTGAACTCAGGTCCTCCTGACTTCAGGGCCGGTGCTCTATCCACTGTGCCACCTAGCTGCCCCATGGAAATGATTATTGACAAATCAAAATAAATTTTAAAAAAACAGAGAAAGGGGGAAGTGACTTTAATGGAGACTCTGCCTTTTTCTGGGGCTTGAGACAGGGACCAATGGGCCCACAGAAGGCAATGCTGGTGGCAGCCACAAGGGACCAGACAGACCAGTCCTGGTATGAGAGTCACTTGAGATCCCATAGGAATCCCTGGAGCATAGGAACCAGTAAGAGGCCCCAGGGACAATGGGAGGAGGAGCCAAAACTGTAGTCACTCTATGTCAATGATAAGTGACTGAGAACAAGGTCACAGCTCCTGAGCCAGGCTGTTAGGTATAACCAGAGCCACACAAGCTTAGCCATATACCCATCCCCTCAGGGAACCTTTACCCTGTCAGTGATTCTAAACACAGTGGGCCAAAGAAAGGAAAGCAGGAACATCAGGCAGCAGAGACTGGGACTCCTTGGCTAACATCTTCTCCCTTCCCCCAAGGAAAGATTGTGAGAATCAGCTTCAAAGTTGCCCTCCCGCTGATATTCTGGACCTGGTTCCTCTGCTCTATTTAGGTGGGCTGTTCTTACCCTGTTTGTGTGTCATGGACCCCCCAGGATGACTGGGGAAGCCTATGGACCCCTTCTCAGAAGGATGTTTTTAAATGCATAAAATATCATTTTTGCAATTGCAAGGGAACCCAATTATATTAAAATACAGTTATTAATTTTTTTTAATTAACAAAAAAGTTCACAGATCCAGGTTCAGAACTTCTGGTGCAGGTGAAGGCAGTTATTATTTCTTGCAACCCACCACCTTTTGCAAATGAGATGCCCCCCAAACCCTCATACTCCTTCCTTCAAAATGCTGCAATCTCCCTCCCAATTGTGTGAGTTGGTGTGTGAGGCTTAGTACTGTATATAAATCACTTAGCTCACCCCTGGAAAGAAAGCTCTGTCTTTGTGGCCAGCAGAAGGACTCAGAGAGCTCATCATTGCTGGGTGCATTTCCTGCTGCTCCTGAGATCTAGGCCTGCACTGGATTAGATGAGCTTCTGGCTGGAAGTTTAGGTGAATGGGATTTCTCCAAGTATGGCACCCTGGGAGAAGGCCCTGGCCAAACACTCAAGAACTTCCTAATAGTCAGGACGTTACCCAGGTCTTCCACCTCCCACACCCAAGCTCACCCTTACCCTACCTTCAGGTAGCGACCGCCCATCCATGAAGGTAACAGGCTTGCTGAGCTGGCAATATACCTGGGGCACTGGGGGATATAGGCGGAAACTCCCCTTGATGCACATGGTAAGGTAGGTCATTTTCCCCAGGTCTTCCCTGCATGGAAAGAGAGCAGAGACCAGAGCCCCCAGTCAGTGTGGAGCAGGTGCAGCAGGTCCCCAGCCCTGCCACTTGGATTCCCCAGACACCCCAGATCCACCTTCCAGCTAGCTTGAAGAGACAAGGGGAGGGTCTGGAATACCCCACATTATCCCTAGTGATGGACCTGCCCAAGTGTCCAGTCCTAATTCTGAATCTGTCTGCTGGTCCTCCCTCCCTCTTGACCAAGTCTCTTTCCTCCGCATCTTTGCCCAGGTTACCCCCACCTAGAATGCCCTGTCTCTTCTTGCTTCCCTCTTCCTACCCTCCCTTTAAGGTCCTGCATGTGCATCTTTGATGTAAGCCCTCCAGGAGCACCCCAGCATGTGACATCTGAGCCCCTCAGGCACACAGAGCCTGTGCCCTTTGCTTCAGCCTGTGATCACACAAATGACCCCTCAACATTTCCTCCTTGTTCCCATCAGAATGAGAGCTCCCTGATTGCTTCTGATCACTCCTTCAGTGCTTAGCATGGAGCTAGGCCCAAGGGGGCTCAGGAAAGAAAGACACATGGAGACCTTGAACAGGGCTTTGCTCAATTCAACTGAACAAATAGGAATCAATTATCTGCTGTATGCAGAACCCTCTGCTAAGAACTGAGGATAAGAGAAGGGAAATGACCCAGGCCTTCCAGCAGGGACCAGGAGTAGAAAGAACACTTGGTTTGGAATTCAAAGACCTGGGTAGAAATTCTGGATTCATTCTTCTTAGCTGTGTACCAATTAGAACTGAGAAAAGTGAATTGGGCTACTGCCTTGGGAGGTGGGGAGTCTTCCTTCATTGGAGGTCTTCTGGCAGTGGCTAGATGGGCATTTCTCAGGGATGTTGCCGAAGTGGGGCCCTTATTGGCCTCAAATTCTGTGATTCTATGACCTTGGTCAATGGTCTTGTAAGCCATAGAGTGCCCTATGAATGAAGCCACACTATGGTCCTCCTCTGAGGCCTTCTCTTGGCATGGTGAGGGAAGTGAGGGACAGACCCTGACTTCTCCAAGGCCTGGCCAGCATAACACAAAAAGCCTTGGCACGTCCCCTCAAGCTGAAGAGGCTTAGAGTGTGGTCCTATCATTCAAGAACCAGCTCAGGTCAGCTCAAAGATGCTCTTTGCTGGAATCTGGGCCACCAGATTGTCCATGATCTTTGAAAGATCATGGAAAACAGGGAAGGTACTACAAGATAGAGAGAGACTAATGTCCAGAATTTTTTAAAGGAGTGGAGTGAGAAAGAGAATAGATTCTACAAACTATAAATCAGTGTGCTTCTCCTGAATTCTTGGGGAAACCTCTACACCAATTTTAGGAAGATGTTTGTAGTTAACAAACATCTAGAAAAAGAAGCAGTGATCCTAAAGTACGTTCTTGGCTTTATCAAGAGCAGGTCATGCCAGGCTCACATCTTTCTATTTTGGACAGGATTACTAAACTGGTGGTTGAGGGCAATACTCTGGATACAATTTACCTAGTTTTCAGCCAAGTTTTTAATAATGTTATCTCATGTTAGTCTGGTGTAGAAGATTGAAAGATGTGGACTAGATGGTAATGCAATTAGATGGATTCAGAACTTCTTGGATGGCAGGATTCAAAAGAGTAGTTATTGAACATGGCAGGAGGTTACCAGTGGGATACCACAGGGAATCTGTGCTTGGCCCTGGGCTATTTAATGTGTGTATTAATGATTTGGATGAAAGCACAGATGGTGTGTTCACCAAATTTGCAGATAGCTTAAGGTTGAAAGGAAAAGCTAACACAGTTAGGATCCAAAGGGATTTTGACAGGCCAGAACATTGGACTCAATATAATGAGATGAAATCTGAGAACCAAAATACAGTCACAATTTGGCAAAAAAAAAAAAAGTTATCAATACAAGATGAGGTAGACATAGTTATCAAATTATGTGAAAAAGATCTGAGGGTTTTAGTGGGCCTCAAGTTCAGTATGTGTCATCAGTGTGATACAGCAGCCCAAATAACTAATGTGATCTTGGGCTACATTAAGAGAGGCATATAAATCTAAGTAGTATGGTGGTTAGGTCATTGGACTTGGAGTCAGGAAGACCTGAGTTCAAATTTTGCCTCAGATGTTTTCTTTCTGTATAATCCTGAGCAGTCACTTAGCCTCTCTGTATCTCAGTTTCTTCATCAGTAAAATGGGGGTGATAATAATAGAATCAATCTCACAGAGATTGTGAGCCCATCATGAGTTAATATATGCAAAATGTTTTGCAAACCTTGAAATATTATAGATGCTAACATAGCTTCCAGAATATTGTGTTGATTCCGGGTGCCATGATTTAAGAAGGACACTGATAGAATGGAGTGTCTAGGGGAGGCCCACTAGGATGGGGAAGGGCTTTGAGTCCCCATCAAGGACAAAGCAGTTGAAAGAACTAGGCGTGTTCCAGCTAGAGAAGAGAAGATGCAAGAAGAACCTAACTGTCCTCAAGTGATTGAAGGGCTACCCTGTGCGAAAGGGATCAGTTTGTTCCTGCTTGTCCTCAGCAGTCAAAAGGAGAAGTAGAGAGAGAAGTTGCAAAGGCTTCTGGAGGCCAGAAAGAACTCTCTAACAATGGGTTGTGCCAAAGTAGAGTGGGCTGTCCCCAGGGCTAGTGGGCTTCCCCTCAACTGGAGGTCTCCAAGCAGAGACACAATCACGTAGTTGGGCACATTAAACTGGACGTTCCTTTCAAGCTCAGGTTGTACCAGATGACTGCTGGGGTCTCTTCCAACTCCTAAATTCTGTGATTCTTGGAAGAACAACAAGAGAGAATTTGTCAAATAGTCAAGAGACTAAGGAAGATTTAGAAAATAATGAAACACTCAAGCCTTGGATCTGGAGACTGGGTAGACCCAAGTAGATGAGATGGTTCCCCAGGAAGCTGCAGTCTCACTGCCAGGAGACCTCAAGCCCAGGGCTGGAACTGGCCCTTCGTGGGGTAGGGAGGGTAATGGGAAGGTTAGGAGGAAGACTTGTCCCAGAAGGGTGAGCTCCCCAAACTCTGCCAATGGAGCAGATCAAGGGCTAGTAAGACCTTGGAGTCAACCAGAGGAATGCAGTCACTGGATCTGAGATGTAGCCCTTCAAGATTCCTTAGTGATCCATTAGTTCAATACCCTTACTTTATAGATGAGGAAACTGAGGCCCAGAAGTGGGAAGAGACTTGGCATGACCACAGTAACAAGTGGCAGAGCCTGAGGGAGCAGGGCAGATCCTGGCAGGATCCCTGCATCCCCTGGCACACTTCTCAGTCATTTTTGAGACAGAGCAGGCCATTGGATAGCGTCACAATTTCCCAAGATGTCCTGGACCTCCTGCCGGCATAGCTGCTGGTGCTCTGGGTAGAGAGCCATGCAGTACAGGAACCAGGAGATGCCACTGGCAGTGGTGTCATGACCCTCAAACATGAATGTGTCCACCTCACCCCATGAGTCTGCATCTGACAATTTATTCCTGTTCTCATCCTTCAGGAAGAAATTGAGGTGACAAAAGTGAGTAGATGGCACAATAGGAGGGACTCAAAGTAGATTTCAGGGAGAACTTCCCCTCAATAAAAGCTGCTAAATTAGAGAAAAAGGACCTGAATAGGAAGGAAATGGGATCTTCTTTTTTGATGGGGCTGGACCATCCTTCCACCTGAATTGCCCTTTTATGCATAAGATTGAGAACTGAAAGGGGCCTTAGAGACTTTTGAGCCAAATCTCATTTTACAGAGGAGGAAAGAGAGGCTCACATGGGGGCAGTGACTTGATCAAAGCCACACAGGTGGTAAGTGTCAGAACCAGGATTTGAATCCATTGCTTTTGATGCCAAATCCAGCATGCTTTTATACTCATTTTCACTGTGCCTATCTGTATCTTGTGTACCAATCAAAGTCAAGTTCAAGTTACCCACCCTTCCCCAGTTCCCCCAGGAGGGCTTGGGTGGGCAGTACTTTTCCCCACTGATCTCTCTACCTATTTAATGAATGAGCAAATGCACAAGGAGAGAAGCAGGAACAGGAGACAGACACTCCTTGGAGCAAGGGGAGCCCTAAAGACTCACTTTAGCTTTGCCTGAATGGAACCCCGGATGAACCCGTCCCTTAGAAGCCCTCAGACTCACTCCAGCCCCAAGAAGAATGTCCAGGAAATCCAGGCATTTCTTCTCCTGAATCTTCTCCTGCTCCTCCTCCTCCTTCAGGGCAGCCTTTCTGGCCCTAATCACCTTGTCTGTGCAAGAAAATTAGTGTTAGTGCTGGAAAAGGTGGGAGAAATCATGTGTTCAAGCACCCAACTTGCAGAAGGGAAAATAAATCCTAGTGAGGGGAATGGTTGAGGCAAAGTCATGGAATCAAATGGAGCGAGTGGAAGAATCAGGTCTCCTGATACCCTACCTAGGGCTCTTTCCTCCAAATACGCTGTCTTAGGGTTATAGATGCCTCAGCCAAGCCCTCACCTCAGTAAATTATTCAGAATTCACCACTGCTGAAAGCACCACTGGGAGCAGTCTCCAACCCTTATTCTAGTTAGCTAGAGAAGTCTTCCTATCAGGAGTTCTAATTCACAGAACAAGAGGAAAAGGTCCTTTATATGGGCAAAGAACTTCATAACTGTAAAAGAAAGTGGGCAAGAAAGAGGAAACTAGGAGGTTTTCTCCCTCTGGGACATACACTCTTCTGTGTTGAAATGATGGGAACCTTAGGGAGAAGTTACCTCTCCATTTTATATTTGTCATCAAAAGATGGGAATAGCCTGACAATCCTTGGATTTAAAGAGAATGGATTTCAAAGGGTTCAAATAAAAAATAAATAGGATCTAATGGCCTAAAATTACACAAAGGAAGTTATCTGAAGAAGGATTCAAGGCTCTTAGGAATCAAATCCTAAAGACAAAAGAAAAATAGTTCTAATAAAGAGGAAAGGAAGGATGATACCTAAGTAAACCAATGCGGATACACAGGGAACTCATCAATTTACTTCAATTTAAGACACATGTGCAGGATCAGTTGCGATGCATAGGTTGGGATCTGCATCTTTGAGGGGAATAGCTATATTGATGAGAATATAGATTCACTGAAGAATTAGAGAAGTTAAAGATGATGGAAGGATGAGATGAATATAAGCTCCTGGTCTTAAAGTGTAGTGTCAAATTAGAAAGGAATGTGGCCCAGTGGATAGAATGTCAGACCTGTGGTCAGGCAGGCTTGAGTTCAAATCTGGCTTCAAATTCTTACTAGCTATATAACTCTACTTAAGACATTTAACTTCTCTCAGACTTAGCTTCCTCCTCTGCAAAACGGGGATAATAAAAGGACCTATAATTGTTGTGAGGAACAAATTTTAAACAAATAGGCATATACACACACATATACATGTGTATGTGTGTATATATATGTAAATATGTATATAAATAGGCATATATATACATTGGCTTTGCAAACTTTACAATGATATATTAATGTTAGTTATTATTATTATTATTTCAGAATGAGCTGAGACTGGTGAAGAATACTAAGGACAATAAAAAAGGGGAAAAGTAAGATCAAGGGACAGGAAAGTCCACTGTCCAGGGTGGCAATGACTGTAATTAACTGAGGAGAGAAAGGACAGATCCATTCAACCATTATTTTTGCTTTGGTTTTCATTCATATGTAGAAATCTTTTTCCCAGTAAAAAAGATAGAATAAAAAATGTCAAAAAGGAGTTGAAAACTAAGATTAGTAAGGAAATGGTACTAAGAAAACCACAATGAGTTCCTATGTGTCACCTGACCTAGGTGAACCAATGAGAATGGGTGGGTGTGCAGGCTGTGCCATAGTTAATGGTCTTAGAAATATCAGAGAAAACAGAAGAAATGCTACCAGACTGGAGAATAGTCAATGTGATCTTGATTTTCAAAGAAAGGAAGCAGGTAATGTTATTTAATGAAAAAAAAAAAAAAAGCCAGACTCATCAGTTAAATGTTTCTTGTTAGAATTCCAGAATAAAATATTCAAGGTATTTTTTGTGATCATTTAGAGAAGGAAGCTATTACCGTTAAACAAATGTATGTTGAATTGAATTTAACTAGGAACCAACTTGACTTCATATATAATTATATGGCTAGTAAACATCCAGAAAAAAACATGGATTTATACCAGTACCTTGAGCCTACCTACTTAAGTAAACCACTTCATGGAATTCTTGTAAAACAAAATTGGCTACAAATGAATATAAAACTTAAATATAGAATAATGACATATCATTACATACATCACATATATACATATATATGGAGACAGAGAGACAGAGACAGAAGGAGGGATGGAGGGAGAGAGAGAGAGATTATGATTATGGAATGGACCTGTGATTTCATTGGTATAAAACTCAGGGCACTCCTGGGTGAAAAAATTCTCTCTACCACACAGATCAGCTCCTTCACTGTAACTTATATATAGTCCTAAAGAGTCCTTTAGAACAGAGGGGTTAAGTAATTTGCCCAGAATGACTCAACAAGTGTGTGTCAGAGGTGGAATTTGAACCCATTTCTTCCTGGCTACAAGGACAGCTCTCTAACCTTTATGCTGTGTTGGGATAGAGATGCACCTAAAAGACAAGATGAATAACTTTTATTAATAACATGTAAAATCTTTCACACAAATAAAGTCAATGCAGAGAGAACAAGAAGAGAAACTACTGAATGTGGAAAATCTTTGCATCAGCTATTACAGATAAAAGTCTGATATCCAAGACATTATAGGGAATTAACATAAATTTATAATGCCAAGAGTCATTTTTCAATCAATAAAGAATCAGAAGATTTAAACATGTAAAATAAATTATAAATTACAAAAAGCTATATAAAATATATTTCAAATAGATAATGATTCAAGAAATGTAAATTTTAAGTTTTCAGGAGGTTCTGGATAACAATATGGAATTATACAATAAATATGACTGAATTGTTCATAACTTTTAACCCAGTGTTCCCACTACTAGGCAGATAGCTTGTAGAGGTCAAAGACAGAAACATGGCTCCAATATATACCAATATGGTCATAGCTACACCTTTTTCTTTTCATTTATAGCAGAGAATTGGAAACAAAGTGAGTACCCATCATTTAGAAAATGGCTAGGAAAGGTGGCATGTGAACATGATGAAATGTCCTTACTCAGCAAGACGTGATAGCTATGAGGAAGCCAAAGAAACATCAGAAGATTTGTATGAAGAGATCCAAAGTGAAATAAGTAGAAATAGATGAATGATATGCACAATGACTACAACAATGAAAATGGAAAGATCATAAAAAGGAAGCCAAATTCTAAGGAAGTGTCAACAAAAATCATTACCTGTTCCCTGAAAACAAGTAATGATCCATGTCATTTCTCTTGGCAGAAATGTCAAGGACCACAAGGAAATAAGGTTGCATATATTGTCACATACAGCCATCTTTTGCTTAAGTGTATTTCTTCTCACATGTCAGTGTTGAATTCTAGGTGGTGAAGATTGAGGATGGGAGGAAAGGTTATATCTACAAATTGCCTGTATTACTAGAAAACACCCAGTAATGAAAACTGTTAGAAAATATCTAGTAAAAAAATGAAAGTTATACTTAAAACATTTTATTGTTTTTTAGCAAGGAAGTGGTGATGATAAAAAACCTACATGAGGTCATCAAGACAGGTTATGCCAGGGTAGCTTCATTTCCTTATTTGACAGTATTATCAGGCTGGTTAATTCAGGAAATGCTACAGATATGGTTGATCTAAATTTTAATAAAGCATTTGGAAAATTCTCCCATACTTTTCTTTTGGGCAAAATGGACTTGATGCTAGCAATACTGGATATCCCACTTTGGCTAAATCCAAAGGATAGTCATTATTAATGCCTCAGTATCAACTTTGAAGGAGATCTCAGACAGACTTCCTTGGGAATCTGTTCTCCAGTCAATTATGTACTTTTTAACAGTTTTATTAGTTACTTGCATAAAGATCTAGATAATTTGCTTATAAAACATGAAGATATCATAAAGCTGAAAAAGATAGCTTGACAACATTTAGCCATAGAGACGAAAACCAAAAAAAAATCTTCAAAGGATATAATGATAAGCCAAATATAAGAAAATTAAATTTTATATGGATAGATAAATGTAAAGTTTTATGCTCTGGTTCAAAAAATCAACTTCACAATTACAAGATGTGTGAGATAATCCTGTTCATCTGAAAAAGATCTGAGTGTCTGAGAGAGCTACAAAGATAATAAGAGTTGAGGAGCTAATTAAAAGCTAATGTGATCTCAGTTTGCTTCAAGAAAGGCATAGAGGCCATAATGATGCAGCTGATAGTCCTGTTATCTGCTGATCTTTTCTGATCTCATCTACAGGACTGGGATTGGTTCTGGGCCCCACATTTTAGCAAGGACATTGATAAGCAGGAGAGCATTCAGAAAAGGACTTTGAGACCATGAGATATGAGGATTAATTGAAGGGAGTAAAGATGTTTGGCCTGGAGAAGGGAAGATTTCTAGGAGGGGTGGCCATGTGTTCAAGTATTTGGATGGCTATCAGGTGGGAAGGAAGGCTTATTCTTCTCAGCCTCTGAAAGCAGAGCCAGGACCAAATGGTGGAAATTTCAGAGAGGCAGATTTGTCCTTGATATAAGAAAAAACTTCCTGAAAATTGGAGCTGTCCAAAGGTGGAACTGGGATGCCTGGAGTACTAGTGAGTTCCCTTTCTTTTGACATCCTCAAACAAGGGTTAGATAACCCCTTGTTGGAAATGCTGTAGTAAGCTTTCCTCCTCAAATAGAGGTTGTACTACATGTTCTCTGATGTTTCTTCCAACTCGGAGATTATGTGATTTGTGAAATACTGCCTCCTACTTCAAATGGAAGAGTCACGTGATATGATTTGGTTAGGGAAGGGGTAAAGGACAGAAGGCCACAGGGCCACAAAAAGGCCGCACTTCATGGAGGGTAATGAGGAATAACCCTTGGGGATACCAAATAGGTAGACTTGGGCCTAGAGCCTATGAGGAAGAGGAAGGAAAGAAGGAAGTACAGGAAAAAAAGGAAGGAAAGAAAAAAGGAAGGAAGGAAGAACAGTGAGAGGGAAGGAGGGAGGGGGAAAAGGAAGAAGGAAAGAAGGAAGAAAGGAAGGAAGAAATGAACAGAGGGAGAGAGAAGGAAGGATAAAAGAAGGGCAGCCCCAGGCTGGAGACACACCAGTGTGGTCATGAGCAATCTTGCAGGCCTGAAGGAACTTCCAGACATGTAGCGTGAACCAATAATAGAAGAAGTCGTTGTGATACTGGAAGATTGCCAGTCGCTCTTGCATCAACAGGGTGAGTTCCCCAATGGCCTGATGGTATCTGGTGTCCACTGCAGGGGCCAAAGAGAGGAAGAACTGAAGCAATAAGGTGGAGAAGGAGGGAAGTGGGAATGGTTGTGTTTTGGCACTTTGACTATTTATTCCCTTCCCTCCTCCACCTAGCCACCTTGGAAGACTAAGCTCTGTACTGGGGGCAGGAGGGGAGACCACTCAAAACCCCATATCTTCCACCAGGATTCTTACCATCTAGACCTCAATGATATTTCCCTGTGGTGTTTTTCTCTCTCCCCTCCCCAAACAAGGGGCTCCCCAGGACAGAGCTGTGTCTCCTCTCAGACTAGGTGCTTGCTCCCTATGGGCCAGGTAAAGAGAGTTCCCCCAGGACAATCAGGGCCCTTTCCCTAACCTCTGTACATGACTTTTACTGCTCCTTCCAAAGATACATTTAATCAGACTGACCAGAGTCATGTGACCCACATCTGGGTAGATGTTTACACACTTGTCCTTCTGAATATTCTTGTCCCATTTGTCCTGAAAAAGACAGGAAATCAGAGACCCCTTCCAGCCCCAAGACCCATAGACCCACAGGGCTTATTCCCAGGGCACACCCCTCTTTCTGTACCCCTTCCCCAAATGTCCAGTTTCCTTCTGTCCAGTGGAGCACTACAGGCCCCAACCTAAGCTATCCCCTGCCCCAAGCTAGCTCCAACTAAGTTTTAAAATGGATGGGGCAAGGATCAGAGCAAAGCCTGAAGGAGCCTCTCACCACCATGGCTTTGGTAGACTCCACAAACAGATCCACGTATGGCTTCAGGACCTCTGAGTGAAAGGCAGGCATGAGCAGTTTCCAATGCTGAAACCACTTGGGCCCATCCAAGAGCACTAGCCCCTTCCCTGGGATTAGGAAGGAGAATACATGAGAAAACAGCACCTTCTCATTAAGACAGTCACTTCTTGTCCAGTATCCAGGCACATGGAAAACTTGTGAGGAACAATGAGCCTATTCCCCCTTCTGGGAGCACACAGTCCTCAATAAAATTGAAATTGAAGGGGTTTTATGAAGACCTTAGTCATGGAATAAGACTTCATTGGGGAGGTTTAACCTACTTAAGAAAACATACAAAGAGAATGACAGAATGGCAGTGCTGAGAATGACCTTGAGCCACAGAATACAGAATGCTCAAATTTGAAGGGACTTTGGAACATATGAAAGAGAATGCTAGAGCTGGGAGGGAGATTAGAACACATAGCACTATGGGGATAGAACAAAAATCCTTATCTTCTCTCCACAGTGACCCCCTCCAAATCTCCACACTGGAGGGATTCACATTCTTCTGGGGGATGTGAGAAGTATCAATTAATCAATAAACATTTATTAAACCCCTACTATGTGTTAGGCACTGTGCTAAACAATGGGGATAAAAAAGGCAAAAGACAGTCCCTGCCCTCAAGGACCTTACAATCTAATGGATTGTGAGCATCCTAAGAAAAGTAAATGCAAGGTAATGAGAGGAGAGGAAGAACCCCTGGGAGGACCAGAAAAGGCTTCCCATGGAATGTGTCAGCTAAGCTGAGTCATGAAGGAGGCTGAGGATTCCAAGAGCTGGAGGTGAGGAGAAAAAGTTATACAGGCATTCAGGCCAGCTTATGCAAAGGTACTGAGATGCAATCAATCTTCAGCATTCACGTGTTTAATTTTCATGACTTCAATTATTCACGTGATTTTATTAGTAACTTTATTTTTATTTTTGTGTTAGCAACCACACACTTTCACAGTTATGTACTGTATGAGAGGTGTGATACATACAAGTTTGTGGAGCAGCTAATGAGAGAAAGGGTTAAGTTTAATTTTCACAATATTTAGCATAGAGTTTTCAAAATTTGAACTCTTTGTCTTGGGTCACCAGGATGTTTTTGAAAAAAGCAGGAAAATGACCAGTAGGAACCATTTTGGACATGATCTCTGTGGCAAGATAGGGGTTTGATGGGGCAGCTAGGTGGTGCAGTGGATAGAGCACTGGCCCTGAAGTCAGGAGGACCTGAGCTCAAATCTGGCCTCAGACCAAACACTTGACACTTACTGCTGTGTGACCCTGGGCAAATCACTTAACCCCAACTGCCTAAAAAAAAAAAAAAAAGATACGGGTTTGATGAAGCATGAAAGAGAATGTGCATGCTAAACAACTTCATATATATTAACTTCTCTGCCCCAAGCAGTGTTTAGATGCCATATTCTGCTCACGTGACGTATGTGGCAGGAGGAAGAACATATCAAGGGGCAACATGTAGTAAGCATACCAGGAAGTTGTACGCTCTGTAATATCCAGCCAATGGGGAAACAGAGGAGGGACCTTGTGGCTGGTGATAAGGATAAAAGGCTTTGTTGTATTAGGTTGGGTGTGTCTATTCACATAGCATGCCCATTTTTGCAAAAACATCAATAAATTAATTTTCTTGGCTTCATCAGTTTGGGAGCGAGTCTTTGGTAAGGACCCTTGCTTCTTATCCTACTAGGCCCTTCACTGGGATTGTTCACCCTACCATTGTAAAGAGCTCCTCAAGCATTCATTGCATACTTTCACTGTTTGTCTTCAACACTCAAGTTTTGCATTGCAATCCTGCTCCCAAAGCATTATGCAAGTTCTTTGGGCTCTAAGGCCAAGTGTGCAAAGTCTGTCAAGTTGCTCAGTGAGAAAATAAAGGTTAAATAAACATCATGCTAGAATGTCTGCAGCTGCTTTCCAACCCCATTTTGTCTTAATGAATTTGTTTAATGAATGAATTTAGAACCGTTTGTTATATACACAAAAAGGAGGAAAGCATTCACAAAAGTGTTCATAAACTTGCTCCAGAAAGGGCATATTATCAGCATTAATGTTTGGTTATAGAGAAGTAAAGGCAGACAAAAACAAATCTTCAGCAATCTTTGGTGAAAGATTACAGTTTTTACTTGCAAAGGAACTTCAGCCCTTATTTTCCATATATTCATTGTATCAACATTTGCAGTTTTTACTTTTGCACCGTTTTCTAGGAACTTTACCCCTGCCAAAGTTGAGGATTGGCTGTAGAATGGCATATACGGAGAAATGCTGGAAGAAATTCGGCCAGAATGCATGTAGTGTGTGAAAAAGAAGACTGGAAAGATCCCTGCCACCCCCCACCCCCTAGCACCCACACCCAGCTCCTAGGGGTCTTCCACCACCACTGGACATTACACTTTCTACTTACTTGCCTTGTTCATGTTGCTTCCTGCACCCCCAAGAATGTAAGTTCCCTGGGACAAGGACTGTTCATATTTATCTTTGTATCTTTGTAGTAAGGGCTTAATAAATAACTGATGATTGATTGAATATTTAAATCTGCTTTAGAGTGTCAAACTAGAGAGCTGATGCAACCACAAATTCAATCCAATTCAACAAGTATTTGCTGAATGTTTGTTGAAAAAATAGAATACTTTGCTGCATGATAATCCAGCAAAGGAGACTGAGAAGTGATAGAAGAAGGAGCAGAAGAATCAGGAAAGAGTATTTTCACAGATGCAAAGGAAAGAAAGAATATCCAGAAGGCCAGAGTGGCCAACAGTCATGAAAGCTGCAGAGAAATCTAGAAGAATGAGGATTGAAAAAAGGCCACTGGATATAGTATTTAAGAAGAGATCATTGGTAGTCTTGGAGAAAGTAAGTTCAATGGAGTGAAAGAGTCGGAAGCCGTTGCAAGGTGTTGAAAGGTGAGTAAAGATGGTAATTGTGGCTGTGAAAGGGAGAAGAGATATAGGATGGTCCCAAGGAGGCGTACAAAGAGTGTCACAGAAATGACCAGAGGTGAAATATGAAGCAGAAGAGGCCCCAGGATATACTGCTGCCTGGTATGATCATTTGACAGATTGCGCTGATAATATTTCACATAGCTATCATTCTTCAAGAGGTCATACATGTGGCTCTCTTCACAGCCACCCTATAAGGACCAGAGGACGTATTATTATTCCTCTATTATAAAGGAGGAAAAAGGTCCAGAGAGAGGAGGAGTCTTGCCTAAGATCACATGGTAGTGTGGGGGCAGAGCCAGAGCTAGGACCCAGGTTTCCTGAGTTCCCATTTAAGGCTTTTTTTCAGCATTAGGAAGATGGCAGAAGTGTGATTTACCTTCTCAGGTAGACTAGGAACTCCTGGAAAGCAAGAGCCCAATTTCTGCCTGGTCAAGCCCAGGATTTGGCACAGGGCTAGGAATAGGGGTAAGGTGAGGACTGAAAGAGTGTGTAATGGGGAGGGAGAGGAAAAAGAGGTTGGATACTTCTGCTTCTTTCACCAGAACCAGGTACCCCACTATTCAGACCTGCACTTCTGCTTTCTACCTAAGGTGGGTGAGAGAGTTAGGGGAGGCAGAGGAATCCCACTCACCAGTCCATGGTAAGAAGAAACTATATATATCCATGGCCTTGGGATCTATAGAGGGAAAAAAAGTGCTGTCAGAGAGGCCAACTCTGAGAAGCCAAAGCAGGATCAGGTTGACAGAGAACAGGACCAATCCTGTCCTTACCCTGAGGATACAAGGTCCAGTGTCTAGGAGCCCAGAGGTTCAGAAGCACAGCATCTCGAGGGTGGAAAGATTTCCAGTGGTCATTAAATCCAACCAATGCCCAAATAAGAAGCTCCTTTCCAGCATCAGTGACAAGTGGCCAGCCTGCCTTGACTTCAGAACCTTCGGTTAGAAGCTGCCCCTTCCCTCACACATCGCCAGGAAGCCCATTCCCCTCATGGTTAATTCTAATTCTTAGAAAGTTTTTCTTGATTATTGTACTATCCTCTTAAGTTTTGTTGTATTAGGATTAGGTGGTAAACAAATTGAGGTCAAAGGCTTTCTTGCCTTTCATTGTATCCCCAGCCCTTAGCTCTATGCCTGGAACACAGTAAACACCTGATAAACAAATGCATGTGTGTGTACTTGTTGCTGAGTTAAGCATGCTCAGAAACCTATGAGAGTTGTAGCTATTCACACAATGGCTCTCTGATTGAATTCTGAGTTGTTTGTTGCTCAGTTTTGAAGGTAACAAGCTTGTGAAGTTTAGAGCAAATGGAAAACACAATCAATGTCAGTGATTAGGACATTTAGGTCAACATCTGGGAAAATATGAAAACCAGAGCTGTTGTATTATTATGGCACAAATATAATCAATTTGACCATAGTCTAACCCAGAACAGAAATGTAATGAGGTGGAGATAGAGGAAGAAAAGAAAAAAAGGGAGAGACTGTAGGGGGAGGGGAAGGACAGCCTTTGGAATTTTATCAGCTACATTGACTGAAATGTTGCCCAGTAAGGTATTAGTCAAAGTACAGTTTCAGCTGAACTTAGTAGCTGAAATAAATTTTCAACACATAAATTACATTCATCAAATAATTTTTCTGAACAGATCCTGAGACAGAAAGAACACACTGAATTTTATAGCTCCAAAGTTGTGTTACCTTGGGCACATAAGTTTTTCTTGCTTGTGTGCCTCCTTGGCATATTTCTGTAATTGTGTTCCACTCTTGCCAATAGATATTGATTGGTTTTGTGAGAGTGTGTGAGCCAGGTTTATATGTGGATTGTGATATATTTATCTGCTTTAAAATATGACTACCTGTAATATTGTCATCACTATTTCTTTTGCCTTACTATTAAGTCAAATCTTCTGCTAAAGATCTAGAAATTTCATTTTGAGTGACTGATTGTTCAAATAGAAATGTACCAGCGAAGGCTAAATAGTTAGAGTGGTCTATAGGAAGAGTGGATTTATCCCTTAATAGAGTGACCTCTAGGACTCTGAGAGCGTTTTAGTGTGCCAACAAAGCAGTAGTTCATAGATGGGAAACTAGATGGGAGTGAAATAAACAGCCCAGAGACTGAGTAAGTGTCCACATGCCTATGTGAGAGATAGGAGAAGCTACACTGTGGGTAGAGCACTCCATGCTCCTGCCATATTGACATCAAGATGAAAGCTGCCTTTCTGCAACTCTTTCCCCTCTACTCTTAGTTCACCCCTCCAGGACCAAGCAGAGCAAGGATGGTCCCTCTTCTATACAAGAGCCCTTCAAATTCTTGAAGAACGTTAACATTTCACCTCTAAGTCTTCTCTTCTCCAATCAAAACACCTCCAATGAATGTTGTTGTTGTTGTTATTGTTAAGTTATTTTTCAGTCTTGTCTGACTTTTTTTGGCAAAGATACAGGAAAGGTTTGCCATTTCCTTCTCCAGCACATTTACAACAGATGAGTAAACTGAGGCAAACAGGGTTAAGTGACTTCTTCAAGGTCACACAGTTAATAGGAGTCTGAGACTGGATTTGAACTGAGGAAGATAAGTCTGTGCCAACTAGCTGTCCCCTCCAATGAATAGGATCGTGGATTTAGAGCTAGAAGAAACATTGGGGACTGTTTCAAATCACATATTTTACAGTAGAAGAAAGTGAGGCCCAAAGTAGTTAAATGACTTGCTCCAGGTCACAAGGCAATAACAGAGACAAGATTTGGACTCAATTCCTCTGACTCCTTATCCAGTGCTTTTTCCACCCTATCATCATATGTCATGAACTCACAGTTCTTCACCAACCTAGTTACCCTCTTCTGGACATTCTTTACCTAATCAGTGTCCTTTCCAAACTGTGGTCTCTAAGAACTGAACACAAGACCCTCTATGGGATCCAATGTAGGCAGAGGACAAGGGAACTGTCACCTCCTTAGTCCTGGAGGCCCTGCCTTTCAATGTAGCCTTGGTTTATATGAGCTTTCTTGTGGCCACATCCCTCACAGCAACCTTGCAGTCCACTCAAACCTCCAGTTCAGATGAACTGCTATGAAGCTATGCTCTCACCATCTTTCACAAGCAAAGGTGATTTTGCTTTAACTCAACTGTAAGAGCTTATATTTGCTTCTGTTACATTTCATCTCATATTTGGCCCAACATTTGAATATTTTAACTTTTTTAGAGCCTTGACTTTACTGTCCCCTGTGCTAATTCTCCCTCCCAAAGTTAATGAACTTGTCATCAATGTCTTTATCCAAGTAATGGAAAAAACTTGAAACTGACCAGGGTCAATAACAGATCTCAGGGAGCCCCTATGAGAGACCCTATATCATTAACAATTATAAAATAATGCAGTAAGAAAAGAAGTCTAAAGAGATATAGGTTAAAAATCCTGATTCTGCTACTTACTATCTGTAGGATCTTGGATAGGTCACTCTGCTATTTAGGCCTCCATGGGGATAGGGGGAATGAGGAAGTAGGACTCAATAACCTCTATAATCCCTAGATTCTAGGTATAAGTCTATGAGCTTATGAGACTTCCAGTTCACCAGCCATAATCCTATAACTAGAGTTAGGTCCACCCATTCAAACAGTTCTAAATCCGCCTAACTGGACTGTAACCTATACCACATTTCTCCATCACATGTACAAGCAAAACATCAGGCAAACTGACAAATGTTTTGCTGAAATTCAGCTTAATTCTGTCTACAGTAACCCACAGATTCAAAAAAGTGTGATTAAATTTGACAAGCAATTTTAAACACCAATTACGGGCAAGGAACTGTCCTAGGTGCTAGAAAGGCAAAGTGAAGCCACTGACCCTCCTTTTATATTTACCTATGGGGATACTATATATACACAGATGTGGAAATTCAGGAAAACTTGAAGAGGAAAAGCACACTGAAAATACAGGGGGTCAGAGATGGTCTCCAATTAAAAATTACAGTTCAGATGAGCTTTGAAGGAAGGTAAGGGTTCTAAGAACAGGAGGTGAGGCATGAGAACACTTCAAGCATAGGAAAATCCATTCAAAGACCTGCCCACATTGCCATTAGAAGGGAAGGGGCCAAGAGATAATCAGAGAACAAAGGTAAGGGGGGGATTGTCAAGGGGACAAATTCCTAGAAGAGATGAGAAAGGGTGGAATCAAGGAAGCAAGCACAGGAATTGAGCTTGCCAAGGAGAAGAATTACCTCTTCCTCAGAGATTGGAGCAAAGAAGAAAAGAACAGGAGATGAAGTGTTTGGCAGATGATCACCCTTTTCACTAAAAGAGAAGGATAGATTCTTTGCTGGTCAGGAACAACATTTAAGTTTAAGAAGAGAGCAGAAGCTTTAAAACAACTGCAACAGAAGGGAGTGTGATAGGTCAGTCACTGAAAAGTAAAAGGATTGTTGTCAAACACAGGCCCTCACTATGATTAGATGCCACAAATTTAAAGTGGACTCAGCCAGCATGTTTGTGTGATTTAATCCAGTGCCAATCAGCAGCCTCAAGGCCAGGTGGAGAACATGGCTGGGAAGGCAACTCAGAGTTAGGATTTAGCAAGGCATGAGCAGAAGGTGAGGACCTCAAGGTTCTAGGACAACGAGAAGTTGAACTGCTTAAGTATAGGGACAAGGATAAAAAAAGAAGAAAGTTAAGAGGAGAGCATGGGTGGTGGACTGTGAGAGCAGAGAGGGGTGAGTGACTAGAGGTCACAACCAATTTGGGAGACTGAGGCAAAATGAGAACTGGAAGAATAAGATGTGGCCAGGAAGAAGAATTTCAGATTTAATTAGTAACAGACACAAGCAGTTATTTATTGTATCCTATGTGCCAGGCACTGTACTAAGATCTGCATGGAAGTAGAACACTTCTGAGTGATGGTGAGATACAGAGAATCTCTTGTGTGGGAGTGAGATGAATGGTGTACCAATCTGGGAAGCCTATCAAAAAGGAAGCAAGATTAGTCTGACATAACCTGTTCTTGATAAGGCCATGTTGACTCCATGGCTGCTTTCTTTTCCAGATGTTCACCAACCATCTCTTTGATAGTATATTCTATAATCTTGACAAGTATTGAAGTCAAGCTCACTGACTTGAAGACTAAACTCTATTGCTGTTGTGGGTTTTTAAAAAAAAAAAAAACCTGGGACCTTTCTCCTTCTCCTCATCTGTAGCACTTCTCTCATTTTCCACAATCTCAAAAAACTTTACCAATGGCTTAATATTCATATATCCCATTCTCTTAGGACCCTGTCAAGGAATTTGCCTGGGACTAATGATTCAACCTTAGTAAAAAGCAGCCAGGCACTGTCTTCTCTCCCCATTTATTTTGATCTTCAATTCTCTATTTGCCATTTTTTTCTTGATCTTTTTCAGTTCATAGACTGTTTTTTTGCCAGAGAAAGCATAAGCCCTAATGATAGTTATCACCTCTACTACCTCAGCCAAGGCTTTCAGTTCAGGCTTCTGTCCATCCTAATGCTTAGGGTCCCTCTCCATTACACCCTCCCATTCCCCTTCTCCATTCATTCTTTCCCATATTTACCCTTCAAGTTCCCCTTTAGACAAAGACTCTATTGAGAAGTTTTGAGTTCCCTTACCTCCTCGACTGTACACAACCTTGGTGTAGTCAGGGTCATAGATGTTCAGGAAACTGATAAAATTCCCCATCCACAGCTGGTGTGCACAGGGGTAAATGTTGGCCCATGACAGAACCTTGTCCAATTCTCCTTCTCTCTTCATCTGCAATTGGGGAAGGGGGAAGGGAAGAGAGAACACAGAAACCAGGTTACTAGAGGTCAGAAGAGGAGAAAAACCAATTCCCACAAGATAGAGAATTCTATACATATTATGACAGGTGGCAGGTCTTTCAATCAGTGAATGAGCTGTCTGTCAAACAAATAATGAAATCCAAGGGGAAGACTAGATGGAGGAAGAAGTCCAGGGAGAAGTGGATGTGTAAGGGAAAGATGTGGGAAGAAGATATGGGAAGAAAAAGGTAAATAAGATGGAAAAGGAAATGAGGGAGACTAAGAATAGGAAGGGATAGAAATGAGGGAAACAGCAATCACAGAATCATAGAATTTGAGTTTCAAGCGATGTCATCAGCCATCTATTCCAGTCTGTACTTTAAACATATCTGAGAAACTCACCAAAACGTACTGCCAAGTGGTCATTCAGTTGAAGCCTGGCTTCAAGATCTTCAGTGAGGGTAATCCCACTACCTCCCAATGTAGCCCATTCTCCATTTGGATAGCTCTAATGTTAGGAAATTTTCCCTCATATTAAAACTAAAGTTGTCTCTTTAAACCCTCTACCAGTTTCCCCTGGTTCTTCTCTGCGGGACCAAACAGACATATAGTCTTCCACATGCCACAGCCTTTCAATTACATGATGACAATTATCCTCCTGTGCCTTCTCTTTCTAGGCTGAACATCCCCACTCCTGTCCTCAAGGTATGGATATGAGGCCTTTCATTAATCAAGACGCTCTTCTTTGATCACTTACCAGCTCATCAATTTCTAGAAGGCAGTGCCCAGGACTGAACACAATATTCCAAATATTGTCTGTCCATGACATAGTACAGTGGAACTATCATCTCCCTCATTTCTAAGTCCTCTTCCTTTCTTAATGTAACTGGAAATCACATTAAATTTTTGGCTTCCACAGCAGACCTTTTTCAGACAAAATGATATCTGGCCAACCTCTGTTCCCCACAATCTTGTACTTCTGATGTTAATTTTTTGTACCAATAGATGACTTTCCATTTGTCCTTGTTACATTTCATCTTTTAACATTTAGTCCAATGTTAACCTGGTCAGGATCTTTTAGGGACTGAACCTGTCATCCCTTGTGTTAACTAATCCTTCCTAACTTTGTATCATTGATGTATTTGAAAAGGATATCATCTGTGCCACATCCAAGTCATTTGTATAAATGTTAAATAACAACTAGCCGAGCACAGGTTCCTGGGATACTCCACTGAAAACCTACAACAAGTTTCTATAAAGGCATTAATGACTAGTTTAAATTCATCTGTTTAGCCAGTTCTGAATACACATATCATCCAACTCAAATTTCTCCATCTTTTCTATAAAAGTAGCATGAAATGTTTGATCAATTTCTATGCTAAAATCTAGGTAAGCTATACCGACAGCAATTTAATCACTTATCCACTAGTTTAATAACCCTATCAAAAAAGGAAATAAAATTAGTCTGGCATGATCTTTTTTTAAGGCCAGGTTGATTTGCTGTGATGATCACTTCCTTTGCAGATGTTCACTAGCCATCTCTTTAATGGCATGTTGTAGAATTTTGAAAGAAATCAAAGTCAAGCTCACTAATCTATAGTTTACAAATTTCATTGTCTTCCTTTTTTGAAGACAGCACACATTTTCTTTTTCTTGTTTGTTTGTGAAGTACTATTCACCTTTTTTTTTTAGGCAATTGGGGTTAAGAGATTTGCCCAGAATAACACAGCTATTAAGTGTCAAGTGTTTAGTGTGAGGTTGGATTTGAACTCAGGTTCTCCTGACTTCAGGGCTGGTATTCTATCCACTGTGCCACCTAGCTGCCCCAACAGCACACTCTTTCAAGGGTTTAAAAATCAGCACACTTAACCTTTTCCAGTACCACTTATGTTCTCCATAATCACTTAGATTTAACTGACAACAACTCACAAATCACATCCACCATTCTTTTTGATCAGTACCTTGGAATGTTCACTTCGGTAAGGTGACTTGATTCTCCATTTATCTTTACCTCTACAATCCCTTCTCTCTCCATCTCTTTTCCCTTTCCTGATTCCCTCATCTCTTTTTCCTTACCTCTTTCTTCCCATATCTTCCACCACCATCTCTTCATCCTCTATATTTTCTCTTTCCCCTCCTTTTACTTTCTCATCTCATTCTCCTCATCTCTACATATACATCTCTTATTTCTTTGTCTTTTTCCCTCATAAACTGAATCAAGTCACCTTCTAACCTTTCAAGTGTTGGGGGTTTTTGGGGGGGGGGTTGGTATCCAGAATCTGTCACCCACTATTAGTTCTCCCTCTCAGCTTTGTGGTATCTCAAAATATAATGAACATGCTTTGTATGCTCTCATATAAGTCATTGATAAAAAAAAATATTACATAGCAACCACAAATCCATGAAACACTATACTGGAAAGCTCTTGCCAAGTTGACATTGAATGATTAACTGACTAACTTTGGGGATATATAGGGTGTTCAGGGAAGACTAGCACCTTTGGAAGATGGTAATCTATCTGAGAGCCAGTGTGGCTTCAGAAAAGGCTAAGGAATGGTCAATATGGTGTTTACTGCCCGATAAGTCCAGGAGAAATGCCAGGAGCAGAATAGAAGTCTGTACACAACATTCATCAATCTAACCAAGGTCTTTGATACTATCAGTCATGAAGGCTTGTGGAAGATAATGGAGAAATTTTGTTGCCCAGAAAAGTTCATCAGTATTATACACCAGTCTTATGATGGCAAGCTTACATGGGTTCTGGATAAAGGATGCTGCTCTCCTGCTTTCCCAGTCACCGATGGAGCACACACCAGGACTGTTTGCTCCCATGCTTTTTAGCATGTTTCCTGCAACGTTTTTGGATGCTTTCAACAAGGATGAAAACTGCATCAAGGAAGCTACTGCACTGATGATAAATTAGCTAACTTGAAAAGGCTACAAGCCAAGACTCAAGTAGAAGGAGAGTTGGTGTGTGATTGTTTTGTTCACAGATGATTGTGCACTCAGTGCAGCCTGTGGGGCTGAGATACAGCAGAGTGTGGATCTATTCTCTGTTGCTTATGCTAATTTTGGCCTCACAGTCAACACCAAAAAAACAGAGGTTCTCCACCAGCCAGCACTGCACCATCCATATATGGAATCGTTGCTTACAGTAAATAAAGAAATTTAAATGCTGTGGATAAGTTCACTTAGCTTGGCATATACTTTCCAGGGATGTCCCCACACATGGTGAGCTTGACTCATGCATTGCCAGAGTTAGTTCAGCATTTGGGAGGCTCAGAAGGAAAGTGGGAGAGAAGACATATTAGACTGAATACCAAACTGAAGGTCAGCAGAGATGGTGTGCTGACTTCATTGATGTATGCTTGTAAAACCTGGACAGTCTACCAGTGCCATGCCAGGAAACTAAATTGCTTCTATTTGAATTGTCTTAGGAAGATTCTGAAGATCACCTGGCAAGATAAGGTGTCAAACACTGAGGTCTTTTCTCCAACTAAACTGCCAAACATTCAAACTCTGCTGCAGAGAGCACAACATCATTGGGCTGGCCATGTTGTTTGAATGCCAAAGATATGTTTGCCTAAAAGACTATTTTACAAAGAACTCACACAAGGCAAGCACTCACACAGAGATCAGAAGAAACAATACATGGTCACTCCCACTCACTCTCTTTAATACAGATTGTGAGACATGGGAAATACACTGGCGCAGTCTTCCTGACGCTAGGCCTGGCACTCTATCCACTATGTCACCTAGATGCTTGCCAGATAATAGCTAGTAGTTAAGGTATGTGAAGTACATTACAAAATATTATTTCATTTTACCCTCACAACAACCCTAGAAGATAAATATTATTATTGTCACCCACATTTTATAGATAAGGAAACTGAGACAAACAGAAATTAAGTAACTTTCCCAGGGTCACAGAGCTAGTAAGTGTGAAGACGGGATTTGAATTTAGGTCTTCTGGACTTCTAGTGTAGAATTCTATCTACTGCACCACCATGTAGCCTAGCACTACTATCCCACTATCATTGTGGTTTTTGTTGTCTTTGTTATCTCTCTGTTATCTTTCCCTGTTCAGAGAGAAATGGTCCTGAGACAAGTTGCTGCCTTGCTATTATTCCTTTCTAAGGACTATTGCTCAGATGGAACAAATAACAATAAATTGTTTATAGTTGAATAAAAGCATGGAGAGGCAAACTCATCCCCTTTAGAGTCATTATTTTGCTGCCATGTTCCCCCACCCCCAGCTTGTCTCTAGGGAATCAAGTCTTTTTGGACATGATGGTTTCCTTTGGTCCTACCATCCAGGTTTGGTCCTTCCTTTCTGTACATCTCTTATCCCCAGTCTCATTTTTAAAAGGCCAAGCACAAAGGAGTAGCCTTGGAATCAATCTATCATTTCAAACATAGTGTTGACCTGAGAATAAAACAAGGAATTCATACCTTACCAAAGGGGCAGTGGTGCCACAAGGTCCCCATCCATAAGTGTACAATGCCTGTGAAACCTCCTGTCCAGGAGTTAACATCCACTGATTGTCTATCAGGTTAATCTTTCCCTATCAATCTCCATACCTAGGGCCATTAAACTTCAGCCATTATTAATTATGGAACTGTAATTCATTACCAGGTAAATATTTGTTCCTTGACTTTATGGCTTCTTACTCTAGTGGGAACTTATATATACATATAAATTATATATATATATATATATACATATATATATAACTTACATATACATATACATATAAATGCACTTTCTCTAAAACATGCATACATATGCACAGTGTCACATGCTAACAATACAGTTACTCACACATAAGATGTGGCTGTGGAGGGGTATAGATAAATGGGTTAAATGATAGGTGAATGATGGCAAAGAAAGTAGGGAAAAAGCATCCTCAAGGGGATCCTGGTGCCTCCATGGATGTTGGAGTTTGCTGTGGAATGAAAGATGATGGGAAATTCTGAGTGAGCCCATATCCA